CACTAGCTATCCATCATTAGCCTAGATCCATCACCCCCCCCCAACACCCCACCACACCAGCATCATAATAAAGTAAAACGGATCTACTCACCAAGCCCCAACTTCACAATCACAAACTTCAGCGTACCCGCCACCTCCCACACCAATGTCTGAACCTTGGCAATCAGACTGTCCTGTCCACAAGCATCGTCCCCCCCCCCAGTGGTTGTTGTTGTCCCAGACACTCTTGGCCAGAGTGGCCGGTGGCCGAGGTCAGGGCGGCCGTTGATGGCGTCAAAGTCCGGGGGCGAAGGGCGGCGGCAGGCCTCGTTTTGTTGGGCGAGGGTGGGGTTGTCTTGCACGGCGGCGGTGGTTGTGTCTGTGCGGCGCGTGTGGTGTGGTTAGGGGAGGGGACTGGGAGGTGAAAGGGTGGGAGGGGGGCGCACTGATGTTGGCTGTGTGGACCTTGACGAGCTCGGTGAGCTGGTCGAGCGCGTCGGCTTGGGATTCGAGCTGGCGTGAGGCGAGGAGGGGGGTGGCGAGGACCGAGGCCGCGAAGGTGAGGAGGGCGAGGAAGGAGGTCTTCATTTTGGATGAGGTCTGAGGTCTGAGTGCTGGGTGTTGGTTTAAGGGGATGAGGTTGCTGTGCTGGCTCTGAGAGCTGTTGCTGCTGCTGCTGCTGCTGCTGGGAGAAGAGAGACAGAAGAGGTCGTGGCTCTTCTATTTATGTTTTTCGGGAGATCAGCTTGATCGTCTCTGTGCCCGCTTCCTTGGTCGAGCTCCAGTCTTCCAGCACCCGGTACTGCTGGTTTGCTAGCCAGGAATCTCTGCGATGATTTCCTGTTTTTCCAAGGACTCAACGGAGCATTTGCCGGTGGCAAGGTCCTTGACTCTGGTTGCACTCAACATTATCCTGGCTCAGCTGTGATTTTAGCAGACGCGGACAAGACTCCGCTGGGCTGCGCGGGAGTTAGACTTGCTCGCATAGACCGAGGAATAATACCCACGGACTACCTCAAATAATACGCCAGACAGGAATGGGTAAAATCAATGTCGATCTTGGACGAATCACAGATGAGTCGCGAGCACGGCAGCCCCAGGCATCTGCTGAGAAGTTGATGGTCCACGGGTTGTGATTCATTGGCCACAGGCCCTGGGTGAATGGTGACAAACAGGTTTCGCGGCTCCCAGGCACTCTACGCGCGTTCAGGTGCCATTGCAGCAGACTACCGGCCTCCAGGTGCGCTAAACGGTTGGAGAATTAGTTTGCTGTTCCATTGCAGGACTCAACGGCTGGGAACAGACCCGAGGACAAGTGAAAAGGGGAAGGTGATTACCCCATTGGCTACCCCCTTTTGTCTCGATCTTGATGGCGCCGAGGTCGGTCAAGGGCCGGTAAATGTGCCTGCTTCGCACGGTGATGCGGGCAATGGCAATCTCGTGGGATGTAACGTGATGATGTCAAGACAGACAACAAACACACGGTTCCTCTGGGTGTCTCCCTCCACTGTACCAGCATATTCCCGGCGTTTTGTTGTTCTCATGGGCCTGAGAATCGATTGAGAGCCAAAGAACAGAACAGACTACAGGCAACTTAACCAAGACTGCGCGTTATTCCTAAGAGTGGACTCAGGCCTTGGACGATCAACAGGCACTGGCCATCATCGGTCTGCATTAGAGTAAGCGAATCCCGGGTCTAGCGTGCGAACGACAGGCACGATCTGAAGATGCAGTCGCTTTGAGGTTGGATCAACAAGCGGGATCGGTCGATCATAGAAAAGGGCGCTTGTGTGTTTCCCGGCTCGCACCCGAGGGGCGAGTTAATGAGCGTTCTGATATAGCCCCCTAGTCTAATCCTAGGCGCCGTGGTTGGCTGGACCGGATATATCCAGAAACGGTTTGGAGATTGTGGGTGCGGGGAGGATGCATCAATGGGCGTGAACTATTTCATTAAATTAACTCTGAATGGGTCTAGGTCTACGGAGTGGTTGATCACACTGGCTGGGTTCTGCTCAGCTGGCAGCGCAATCAAGGAACAGCATGTTCGGGGGAATATCGTGGTTCCATCCCCATAGTGTTGAATGGAGTCTCGCCGGCCGGCTGCTACGCGCGGTCAAGGAGAAAGACCTCCGGCGTAGGCGATGTGGTACAGTAGATGCAACCTTTCTTTCTTAGTGTCCCTAATTCCCTGATTTTTTGAGACCTCGGTTCCAAGGTCTTGCTTCTGGTGACACGTTGTCTCTGGAGTTCCGGAGCCTCTCCCGAGGAACCCTGACAAGAAGGTATTTTCGTCAGAAATGGGCTGACGAGAGCGTCATCACCGTTGCAAGTGTTCTATAGTTGGCAGTGCGGTTTTTTCGGCCTGGACGCCGTGGTCGCGTCGACAGGCTGGGCCTGATATCTGATGGAATGTGGCAACGTAAACAAACAGACAGCCAGTCCACGCTGATGCAATTGCACCGAACATTCTAGGAATGCTTGTTTATGAGCTTCAAGCTGTTTTGCTTCACTGGAATGCCCGAAAGCTGACTTGCCTCTCGGGTCATCTGCCAGAGAGAAATCGAGAGCGGCCTCCCTTGCATCCCGGTGATTATAGAACTGGACAGTCTTCTTCTTGGGTCGTCTAGTTACCCGTAGTTAGTATTTCAATTTGCTACGTGGAATAAGTTGGCATGTCTCTCGAGGGGAGGGAAGAAAATATTCAGACCGAACAATGTTCAAAACGCGATCCTAGAACACTGGAATGAGGCATCCGAAAGAACTCCGAATCACCACTACGCGTTCTGTTGACGATATAATGCGTCTGGACATGACTATCAGATTCTCCATCACGTTAAACTTCCATTACCACCCCCCATCGCCAACCCTTTGCAAACACCGATATCACCACCACCTGTCATGATGCCTCGCCTTCCACGAACCCCCCAAAACAACCACAGCAACCACCACCACAACAACCATCACAACAACCACCATACCACCAACCCCTCCACCATGCCCACCCCCACCCCAACCCCAACCCCCCTAACCTACATCCCCCCCCTCCTCGACGGCGCAAGCGGCACGACCCCCCACGCCCAACACCCCCTGCTCACCACCCTGCACCACGAGCTCACCCAAACCCTGCCCATCCTCCCCACCCTCTGCCGCGCCCTCCTCCTCCACCGCTTGCTGCCCCATCGTCTCCACCCCCACCCAGTCGTTCCAGCGTCGTGGGCGGACACGGCTGAAACAGCGCTGTACTTCCTCCTCGCCTGTTTCGAAGTCGGTGTGCTGCTGGCGGCGGTGCCGTTGTGGTCTTAGTTGTCTCGGGTGCTGTTTGCGGGGTGGGTGGCGGGGTGTGTCGGCGTGGTGGGGGTGGTGGTGGGTTGGGGGTTGAATGGTGGTATTAGCCAGGGGGAGAGGGTGCTGAGGTGTGATGCTGCGGTTGATGGAGAGGGTGGTGGTGCCTGGTGGTGGGGGGTGGGGAATGGGTGGATGATGGGGCAGGAGGTGGTGGAGGATGAGAAAGTGGCTGTTCTTGGGGGGGATGGGGATGAGGTATGTACTGGTTTGGGTTTGATGTTGTGTGGGTGGTTGTGGTGAGCATTGGCTAACGTGGGGTGTAGTTCTCGGCGCTGTCATGAGCGGACGCTTCCGGCACTGTCGCGCCTGTTTAACAGGCCGGTGGTCTGCGTCTGTGTGCCGACTTACGGGATGCCGTTTGATATGCTGGCCATGATACTTCAGCGGTGTTTCTCGATGCCCAGCCAGGTCCGGAGGACCTTGTACTCCCAGATGCGGAGCGCCTTGCTCGACGACTCGATGAACCGCTGCGTCGTTCTCTGCCACAACGACAGCGCCGTTATTGTTTCCCAGGCCGTGACCCAGTTGTGTGCCGATTTGCCCTCGGAGAAGCTGCGCAAGCTGGAGATCTACACTTTCGGTGCTGCCGCCAGCGAGTTCATGATGCCGCTCGGAGATAAGAGCATGGAGCCGGAATCGGTACACCACGCCGGAGACCACACGAACGAACGCCGCGGTATTCATATCGAGCACTTTGCCATGACAAAAGATCCCTTTGCTCAGATGGGAGTGCTGCAAAGCGTCGGACGAAACATGAAATCCCGGTTCTGCGGCGGCGTCTTCGTCATGAACGACACAACCCCTACCATGCAGACGGCTAGGCCCAAAGTCATGCCAACCTGCTCTGGCTATAGCCATGGAGGACTACCTTATGGCTCTCTTCCCAAACCAAATGGCCCCGGACAGCCCCACCATGGTGCGCAGCGTTCTCGACAGTGTCATGACCATCGACAGAGACTGCGCCGAGAAGCGCGAGATTGCGGCCATGAGCAACTACCACGCAGCGTCCCAGACCAAAAATGGTGGGAAGCGGCTCAGCTGGACCGGGCTTGCGACCATGGCCCGGGCAGAAGAATGGCATGAATGCCGGGCATGGTGGCGCTCGAGATGGCGCGCAAGGGATGCAAAAGTTGTGAGGGGCGCAAGGTGCGCAAGATTAGTTGGCTGGCGAGGTATGTTGCCCTGGAAGGGAAGGAGGCGGGAGAGGAAAGGCAGTGATAAAAGGGTGGACGGGGCGTCGTGGTACTTTTGCGATTTCTAGACAAGCCGGCCACGGACTTTCGTGGGCGACAATATCTAAATAATGGGGGGGTTATGTCAGGGCTGGGAGCTGCCACGCCTTTTAATGCAGCGACAATCACGCAGCGGTCGGGGAAAAGGAATTGAAAACGAAGAGTTGGAGATGGTCTGCAGCTAAAACCGACACGCAGAGCTTCGGGGTGCCAACCTCCTATACCGCCTCGCCTTGTGCCACATTCCCCAGACATGCCGTGCCAGGAAGCTCCCTAACAAGGCGACACCCGCCCGTTTGCGCCCCCCTAGACGCAAGCGAGGGCCACCCAGGTCTTGGAAGCCCACCAAGACCTAGTACTGAAGCCTAAGCCAGCCCGGGCCCAAACCAGGCGAGAATGCCACGGTGAGGAAATCGTCAACGGTGGGATCAATGGATTCGACGAAGTTCTTGTAGGCCTGGTCCATATGCAGGAAGTACCAACAGTCGGAGGGGTTCGTAAACTCGATGACGAAGCCATGAGCTATTCTTCCCTAGGAGCGCAAAGAGGGTTGTGGGCACGACTCACGTCGCTACCCTCCGGTTTGCTGTCGATACCATCGCTTACTGAGAGGATATACGGCTTCCCGTCAGGTTTAAGACAGATCTCCCTGAAGGCAATGGTGCGCCTGCGAATCTGTTGTTTCCCAGCTCAGTCAAGAATCAACTGCGCTGGGTCGGGGCTACTCACTACGTTGATCATGGTTGGTGAAACAGGTAGCTTGAAAGAAATGAAGAGGAGGTGTCTGTTGGCCTTTCTCGGAGTAGAGTCATCATCAAAAGAGCCACCGCCAAAAGGCCAAATTTGATCGCTAGACAGTATGCCCTTGACAATGTGTTCAGTGTAGAGGATGACCGAGACGTAGACGACTCCGAAGAAGAAGTCTTGGAGCCTCCTACCCATTTTTGTAAAGAAAGAAAGTACGAATGGAAAGGGCGATGCTGTAGAAAAGGGGGAAAGGATCTGTTGACAAGGTTAAGCTGACGCGTTACAGCCACCTGGCAAGGAAAAGTGCAATGTTTTTGGGGTTGGGAAAGGGAAGGCCAGCAAGTGGGATTTTGTGTATTATTCATTATTAACCGCGCTTGTTCTGTGCATTGAATTAGGATGGAAACGTCACGTTACCTCAGAACTGAGTTGACCTCGCTGGTGTTGCGACTTGGGGTGAAAGAGCCGGTCTATTTATCACAATGAGGGAGGGAATTTCCTCAGTAAATTGGGGGGGGGGGGTATTGGCCAACGGGCTACATGTATGGTCCTCGGCCTCAGCCCTCGTCCAAGCTCAATAGTGTCAAGACGAATGGACTTTGCGCCACAGTTCTACGGCGTCCTTCACCTCCTTCCACTGTCTGTCTGTATTGACAGAAAACTAGTGGGCACAAAAGTAGCGGCAAAGCAGAGAAGGGTTATTTATTGTAACCTGGAAGTCAAGCAAGGGAAACTGTGTTTCTAGGTTCACCGTGGATGTAGCACAAAAAAAGAAAAAGAAAAAAGAAAACAAAATTGCGTTGTTGAACAGGAACCTGCGGAAAGAAAGCGCGGAAAGAAAGCGCAACGCTGGACTGGTATCGAAAATCAACGCTGTTGCCCGAAGGCGAAAGTGACTTCTCCAACTCGATCTTATAAAGGGGCCCCTTCCCCCCCTAACTCGCACAGACCCTCTCCTCCCCTCCCCTCTCCCAGTTCGTGGACAGAACGAGCACGGACTGACACTTGGGCTGCCTTCGGCTATGGGTCGATTCCCCTTCGACGGGAGGAGCTCCCGAAGGGTAACTGGCCAGTGAGCTTTGGCTTTTTACTTTGTCTTTTTCTTCTTCTTCCTTCTTACTTCTGCTCAGTCCATCCCGATTCTTCCTTCATCTCAACGATGATCATTCTTAGCTCACACTTGGGGACAGTTTACCATCCGAGTTGATACACAAATGGAGTAGGATCTGAAAGAGAGTATGTTATTATGGAAGGTCGGACACGCCCTCATGCTTGCCCACGCGCCGACTAATCCCCCGTCGACACTCACGATTCCGAGGTCTACTGGCTTCACGACAACCTTCGACAGATATCTGCCAGGTGGCAGCGGTGCCCACGACGCGACCCTCGAGAACGCAACGACGGTTGTCCCAACACTAATCTGAGAGGGGACCAATCCGTTGGTTCAAAACCTAAGTGGTATTCACTCCCCGCTGTCTTATAGAGGAAAGCAATCACCCATGCAAATCATGTCGTGGTTCTTTCTCTTCTGGTTGCCGGCTCCGTATGTCCTTCGTACGATGCGTCCAGTCCAATCACCCATGTTGTTGTTGCATCGAAACTGCAAGGCTGGTTCGCTGGGAGGCCGACAGGGGTGTAAAAACCCCTGAGTGTTTTCAGGGGTACCATGCACACGATAGCCGAGGCCACAAGGCAAGAGGTAAATGGTGCAGCGAGAAAGAGGGAAGAAGTAGGGGGCTTGTACGAGTTAAACGCAAAACGATCTGATCCGGATGTAGCTAGCGTGCTAAGGCCCTATAGGCCCAGTGCCTCCGGGCGAAATAAATTCCATCCATCCATAGCCGAGGCCAACCACGATCTCGGGTCGGCTTCGATCAAACGAGACAGATCTGCGACTCTCATGCTGCACCCCAGCCGCATCGTTACCAACGGAATGCGCGCAACCCAGCCTATCGCAACTTTTTGTGTCCTGAGGAGGATTCCTTACCCCAGCCAATGCATCAAATCCCAAGCTCCTGGCGAGCTCCGAGTGTCAAATTCACGGCATGACTCTACCGTGTTCCCGCACCTCGGACTCGCCGTCTCACATCTCCCAGACCTGTAGGCCGTCCAAGGTCCACACCATGGTCGGAAACCTGTCCCTCTCCTGTTTCTTTCCCACACACATCCATCCCACCATACCATCATGACCGTCATACGAATCTATGATCTCATCGTACAACCGTAGCCCTGGCTGGCACGATATCGACTGCTGAACACTCCACACGCGGGAGGTTGGCGGACATCGTCGCCTCCTGCTACCCGCTCCACGGTCTCGCCCAATGGACGCTCCGGAGGTCGTGTCAGGGCCAGAACGGTCGTTATCGTACATGCTCCGCCGCCAACCCAAGTTGCAGATACCGCCTCCGGTCCACTCGCCAGTTGAGAGGTCTGGTTCGTCCGGGACTGCGGGCGGGAGCATGTATGAATTCTACATATCGAAAACCGAAGATGAAAAGGACGCGGCTCCCGCTCGGCCGAAGTTCACAATATGGGGGTACCGCCGCAAGAGGGTTATCTTGTGTCTGTCTTTGATCATCGTTATTTTACTCGCAACCATCGGCGGGGGCGTCGGGGGAGGGATAGCCGCCGCGAATGCGCGAAGGTAAGCACACGCCCAGCAATAATCCCAACAGTGTTATTGAAACAGGCTAACGGAGGCAGAGCCTCCAACCCCAACCCGATGATTCTCATGATGCCGACAACCATCACAATGATGCCAACAGCCACAAGCGCAGAGCCCACTTCCACGCCAGCGGCCGAGGACCAAAACACAGCAGCCGACACCATCATCCGAGTGCCCACAAGGGGCGTAATCGACTTCGACTGCGGGAGGATCTCCATGAACCGCCAGGTCGTGACGCTGGGCACCGCCTCCTGGGGCTTCGACGTGAACTGCATGATGGACTACATCGGCCCGGGTGTCGACCTCGCAGGCATGACGGCCTACACGTTTGGGGATTGCATCCGGGCCTGCGCCATGTTCAACAAGTTCGCCCGCAACAACACCTGCCTCGGCGTGTTTTTCAGCGCGAACCTGACGACGAGCCTGCCCATCCATAACGCGAACTGCTTTCTCAAGTCGTATTTGCCGCAGATGTCGCCTGAGCGGGACCTGGCTGCTGCGGCATCGCTGGGGTCGTCGCCGCAGTTTATGAAGAGGGGCGAGGGTGGAGTTGAGGGGGGGGGCGATGCTGAGATACCCGATTGAGAGCTTAGAGACTGGGGATTTTGAGTGATGGCAGCTGGGCTGGATGTCTCCGTGGCCAACATCCTGCCGTTGATGATATTTAATGAACTGGCCATAGTTTTTTAGTACCTAGTAGTTACTCGATTTAGCGGTAGATAACAGATTTGACGTCATGAAATGCAGTGGCATCGGATCGCCTTTCACGCTGCCGTCGTGACTGTAGAGTTAAAGCATTTAATCAGGACGGCTGGAAGTGGGTAGTTAAAACTACCAGGAACGACCTGTTGTTTTCTACTTAATACACCACCAAGTTCAAAGACACTTATCTATTGAAGGCAGCCAG